CCCCCCCTGCTCCCTTTTCCTCCGCTGGAGCCATTGGAGCTGCGCAGACTCCAGGGCGCCCCTGCCTGTGCCGTGAGCCCTCCTGCCTCCTGGCTGCCTCCGTTCCTCCCTCCCCCACCCTAGCCCGTGTCATCCAATCTCTTACCAGCCCTGCCTACTTCTGATTCACCCCCAGACTAGGGGTCTCTGCTCCCACATTCTAGACACTTTGGCCTGGATGAGTCTCTGCTGTGGGGCGCATTGTGGGGTGTTTAGCAGCATCCCTGGGCTCCTCCCACTAGGTACCAGTAGCGCCCTCCACTGGTGACACCAAAATTGTCTCCAGACATTGCCAAATTGTCCCCTAGTTGAAAACATGACCCTGATCCGGGTTACCTCTGTGAAACCAGCATCTGGTCGAGGCATAGCGTTAACTTCATAGCGTTGGACTCATGTCAGAATGCACTCCCCGCATGACAGGACGTGCCCTCGCCTGCGAGACTGCGCCCGACCAGCGGCCTGTCCTTACCTTGTCTGCGGCCGACAGCCTCGTCCAGGGCTTGTCTGCCCGTCTGTCGTAGTCCTGGGCTTTCGCCACTTCCACGTAATCACTGAATCGTATCAGGATTTTTCTGTCTCTCAGTTCATCCACGGTGGGTCTCTGATTAAGCTAAAATAAAAGGTCGTCAGTGAGGGATCCCATGCCAAACCAGCTCCTTAAAGTACTCTGAACAAATAGCACGATTATAAAGAAACGGAAAACTCTGAAACTGCAAACTACCACTAATGCAAACCGTCTGATGCAAAGGGCTTAGGTTATGCGCCTTAACATTCAACCCTCCTCTTAACACACATGTCATCGGAGGGCTCACAGGCCCTGTCGTGCAGAGGCATGTACGTAGCACAGTCTCAGGGACAGGACCAATTTACTGATTAATTTTAGGGTAGAAGTTGCTTCTTTTCAGCTATCAGTAGATAAGCTTTTTTTTAAAGTTACAGGGGAAAAAATGGGACATCTATAATACTTTCAAAAATAAAGCTTAAACCTATTAAAAAAGCTAAAATGCTAACTACAACTAGTACTCGTTAGTCAAGCTCAGGCTCAGGTAGGGTATTCTCTTCAAGCAGGACAAGATTTTATTATTATTATTACAAAGTACAGTGGAAGCACCAGAAAGGGAAACACCAGAGCACTTGAATTTAGAGATGGTCTGGGCTTTGAAAGGCCCGAGTTCGCAGAGTTGCTGCCTATATTGGCCACAACAGGTTTTAACTTAACTATCTCAGTCCCGCAAACAAACCCTCAGGGCTAATGAAGTTTTCTGCCATCAGGAGCTTCTAGACAAATTCAAGGTCACCCAAGAGCCTAAAAGGTAACCTGAACCCTGACACCAGGTCCGCTCCCTTAGGCATTGTGTAAAGACCCCAAATAAATGAAGAAAATGCCCAGTCCACACCTGGCTCCCTGGAAGCAAAGGGAAAGGCCACTTGGATGGTCCTGCCCCGTCAGACAGCCCTGGCTGGGGGAGGACTGCAGCTGTGGGCAGGTGGGAGTCACGCACTAAAGGCGAGCGAGCGAGCTGCCGGGGAGCCACCGCGAGGGCCACGGGGTGACGTCTGCGTCGCCCCTCACACCTGCTACAGACCAGCTTTCTCCATCCCTTAATAGTCAGGAAGATCTTGAAATATAGTACCTTTCTCGTCAATCTCTGCTTGATTTCGCGTCTCTCCTCCTGCTCTGTCTGGTCATTCCTTTCTGTGAAAGATTAAAGAAAAGGGAGGGAAAGCAGCAGGTGAGACTCCTCTCCGGCAGAGATGTGGCTCCCAAGGCCACCTTGTAGGTGACACCTGTCCATATCACAATTTGTTTTTCCCCACGTTGCCGGTGACTGCTCAGGGCACCATGGCCTCGCTGACACACAAACTGTTGAAGGGAAGCTCTGTCACCATCCTGTCTCCTGGGGCTTCTCTGTCACAATAACTATATTGTTGCTGCCCTGGGGTCCTTTTCGGCTCTCCACCCTCCAACCAACTCTCTCTACATGTAGATTTACATCTAAGGACAGAGATGGCAAACAAAAATAGCTGTAGTGGGATGTTACACATAATATACACTCACACACATGAAGGAATGCATATTAATAGAACCAGGACTGCTTTTTTTTCTTTCAATTTACTAGGTAGACATACTTTTATTTTTAGCCAGCCACTATCAGCCGAGGAACACCCTCTTCAGACTCCAGGAGACATATGCTTGCCTGGAATTTATATTTTCAGGGGTATTTCCAATGCAAACACACCCAGGAACCCAGATGACTCTCGAGGCAGAAGCCAGACTCTCACATGAAACCGCAACACGCCTTTTAAGGGAGCCCGAGTCTCTCACCAAAATTGGCTCTGCTCGTGCGTGTAACTCAGCATTCAAGCCGTGCCTGCACCTACCCTTAGGAGCTAAAAGTAGAAAGGATGCCGAGGTGCAGCAGAGACCTGTGCCTCCCGAGGCTGGGGACGATGGATGCCTATTTCTGGCGCTCTCTGCTGCTAAATAAAGCCACAGCTCCCTGGCCGCCTCGTCAGCACTCCTGGAAACACCCCCAGGTTCCAGGAAGGAAACCCTGCGGCTTGCACCTAATGTAACCTCACATTACCTGCCTTTGTTTAAAACATTTCAAACATGTGCATTGGGCAGGGGGTTGGGTGGACGGGTGTTTAATATATTAGCCATTGATCTGTCTGTAATTTTTTTAAAAAGGGTGTCGTCTCGCATTTGGGTGTTTCCTAAAAGGGAATCCAAGTAACAAACCAGAAGAACCCACAGTTAGAAGCTCTAATCAGAAAGCTGATAACACAATTAGGACAAAATTTGTACAAGTATCACATATAAGGCCAACCAGGAGGGGATTTAATGATGACATGAAACCAGTTCTTCAGATTTCTTAAAAATGAGCCACGGACAATCCCCAAGTGCAGGCTTCCTGTGGAAACACCGAAACAGAAGTGGGTCTTCCTTTTTTCTCAATCGTGAGCAACGTCAGCATTGTTACCAAAGTCATGTGAGCACAGCAGGTGCTTTGGAGAGCTGGTCTTCAAAAGCTCCTGGCAGGTCCTTCTCTGGGCCAGGTGCTCTGCTGGGCACCACCTCCAAGAAGCCCTTCCTGGGAGCCTGAGCCCCGGCTCTCTCCCTGAGCTCCACTTAGCGAGAGGTTTGCAGATCTCTGATCCCAGAAAACCCTGTGCCTCAGAGCCTCCACTCCAGGTTCTCTGGAAATAGTGCCAGGAGCTGGGACAGTCCCACAGGAGTCTCCCGTAAATGGTCAGGGAGGTGTCACTGTTGTAACACAGAGGCCGGACAATGGACGACAAAGCAGGCAACCTGGGCGTGAACTTGAGCTCCGTGCCCTTGCCCAGGTTCATGTTAAGAAGTCCTAATACCCGGCCGAGTCCTATGCTGAGCAGAGCAGGCCAGGCGCCGAGCCAGCATTTTCAGGATCATCACTGCAAAGGGCATCACGCTCTTGTATCCTTGAGTCCTCAGGCCGAGCTCGGAGTGTCCCTGCCACCGTCCTGGCCCCCACTCGAAGTGGAGCCGACACAATGGGAGGTATTTTCAGAATGATTCTGAGCAGAAATGGCACAGACAAGGCAGGAGCCCAAAGCCTGCGTCAGGGACGCTCTTCACCCGGCTGGACACGGTTACTGGGTTCCCGCCCTGGAGGAGCAAAGGCCCGCCACAGACGGGCAGTGAAGGGCCCACGCTCTCCCACTCAGGGCTCAGGAGGCTCTGAGCTACAGACACATCAGACTGCTTTGAAGGCGAGGACAGGAACTGCCACTGCCAAGGCCACACATGGGAAACCCAGGCCTTCCCGCCCTGTGGCGCACGAAAGGTCAGCACAATCGGTCACTTTGCCATCTCTAGTCACTGGGCACCGGTCCTGTTTGTAAGATTCCATGATTATTTGCAAAGACCAGCACGGTCAGGAGCGTGGGCTAGGCGGAGGCCCGGCCACTGCCGCAGGGACAAATCAAGGCCTGGAGGAGCGGTCACCGGGACAAAGGCTCCGCTGGCCGTGGGCAGCAGACCCCTCGGACGGTGGCACTGCCCGAGTCTAATCTTTAAATTGGCCCATTTGCATCTTGAACTGTTATATTCAGGACAACTGTGACTTATGAGCCTTATAGATGGATGATTTAATTTTTAAAAATTCAAATATTTGGTAACCTCGCTAGACTTTTCCACCTGCCCAACTTGAGCACACCTCTTTCTGTCCTCACACGTGGCCTCGAGCAAGTAACGGAGAATGTAGTTGTCATATCTTAATTTTAAAAGATAAAGAATTCTCCATCTTAAGGTTAAATCTTTCTAATAGTCTATAAAGGAGGGAACTGACTGAGGCAAAGACGGGAGAAAACTGGCCTGGACTCAGCCCCCAGAACCAGGGGCCCTGAGTCTGCTTGACTGAAAGGCAGCTCGTAACTTTGTCAAGATGCTCACGGGACAGAAACCAAACTCAGAGAATGTCTGCAGTACTCACCACAAAAGAGGAAAAGCAACGAAAATACTTTAAAAATCCAGGCGCTAAGACGACACTTTTGGCAGAAAATGTTTTGAAAACCGAAGCCTGTTGACCCGATAGGTTAAGAACTAGCTGAGAAACGCTTTCAAAGGGCTTTGCTGCCCAAACCGTCAGGGACTTAAATGAGGCGGAACAGTGTTCTCTACACTGTGGGGGCTACCTGTGCACACCTATGTCCAGGACATGTTAAGGTCATACAGCAAACGGGGACACCCAACTGGCGAGCGCGAAGCCAGGAGAGGAGGGTCCTGGACACGCCCCCTGGCTTCACTGTTCCTTTCGGCTGTCTGCTTGTCCCCCAGGTGTAGGAACCGGGGGCGTGTTCCCCCGTGGATCTATGACACTGTCCACCCCTCACCTATGCCGTGGGTGGCCATCAGGAAGGAGCCCCATTCAAAACCGCGGGGGGAAACCTGCCTGACACCCAGGGCACAGGGAGAACACTGACCCATCTCCCCAAGACTTACAGGACAAACAGCCCAAACACAGGGACAGTGTCAACTGTGTCCTCCCCTATATTTTAAAAGGGGATGTTCTGGGGACATCGACTCTCCAGTAGGGCTTGCTATCAGAATCGCTCAGCTGCTCAGACCTAACTGAGGACGAGACTGGAGCTGGGCTGCTGCAAGAAGGGAGGGCGAGGGGACCCCGCCCACAGGCTGGTCCAGCCACAGCTTAGCACAGGTGCAGACCGCCAGGGGATCCCCAGCTACTCACGTTTCAGGATGTTTCTCCTCTCCAGCTCCTCCACGGCAGGTCTTTGGCTCAGCCGTCTGCGGAAAAACACTAGAATTACATTTTGCACCATGGTGGCCGCCTGCGAATTCCACGTGAGTCTGTGAGGTCAGAGGTGGCTGGTGGCCCCTCAAGCTCTCTCTCCAAAAGCTGCAGGAGGAGAAGACCTCGGGTGGCAGCCTCTTGCCGGCAGATCGAGTCAGACCCCCCCACGGGAGGGAGGTCTCCGCTGTCAAGGGGCTCCAGGGGGCACACACGTGCCCCCTCTCCAAGGGCGGCTCCCCATGTCCAGGTTTGCGCCCAGCCTGCTGGTGCGGAGGGTCCCTGGGGTGTGTTCGAGTAGCACCGAGATCGCTCAGGAAATTGAGCAGCGCAGAGACCCGCTCAGGAAGGGCTGCCTGCCCGACCGCCAGGCGCCCTGGCTTCAGCTTCTGCGTCTGGAGCTGCGGCCTCCCCTGGGTCAGGAGCACCTGCGCCCGCCTGCTCCTGGGGCTCCTGCCGCTGAACCAGCTCCTGGCGCCAGCGTGACTGCGCGCGCCCCGCCTCCCGCCCCCCCCAGCCCGCAGCCGGGAGGGAGGGCGCCCATCGCCAGCAGGGATCTCCTGTGTGCGCAGCCAGTGCCGCACACGCCCGCCCAGGCCGTGTTGCCGCGGCGACCTGAAGACAAATTATTTCCTCTCGATGGCTTCTCATGGAGGGGTTAGAGGATGCAGCCCCAAATACATAAATAAATACAAGGCTTGTCAGGAGAAGGAGGCATAATTAGCCAAAATTAATGCCAAGCTCCAACTGTTTTTATAACTGCAATAATGCTGTCCCTGGGTCACAGCCAGAAACCTCCCCAGTTCCGGATCTTTCAGCCATTGGGGGCACACTGCTTAGACCCAAAGCGGTGCTTCCTCCAGAAATATTTGTCTATTTATAACCATGTCCTAGCACAAAGCCCAGGGCGTCCCCCAGGGCATGGCGGCTCCACCCTCCACTCTGAAAGGACAGTTTGCTGTTCCGGCCCCTGGGGGCTTCGTGTGGCTGCTGGCTCTGTGGGTGGCCGCTTCAACACCCCAACTTGATGGTTGGGGCCACATGAACCAGTCCTCACAACCCCTAGCTGGGACCCAGGGGCAAGGCCTCCAGGTCTGCCCCAGGCCATGAACGCAAAACCTAGCTCAGTGGGTGCAGTGTGTGGGGCTCCCTCAGTCGGGTGAAATTCCCCAAATGCCATTCACTCAGTCGCTCTGTCACTGTGGAGTATGTGCCCTGTGTCAGGCACTGTCTCAAGGCCCAGAGCAGGGGTGACCATGAGAAGCCTGCCTTGCCCTTGGAAAGCTGTCTAAAGAGGCAGACAGACAAGTGAACAAGACCGATCCAGAGAGCAGTCAGTCCACGGAGCAAATAAAACGGGAGTGTGACGGATGAGTGACGGGGCAGGGGACTCAGGTGAGACCCATTCCTGCTGAGACCCCACGAAGAGGAGGCGGAGGCGGCAGCCATGGGAGGGTCACGCCTCTGGGTCAGTATCTCCTAACTGCTCACGTGCTGGGCTTGCCGTCCGATCAAGGCGGGCTTCGTGGGAGAGGAGACTGGCCGAGTTGTAGAGAATCCATAGCGGGGAGCCTGGTGCCTGACTGCCTGTAGGCCAGCAGGGGTGCCCGCAGGGACACCGGGAGGGAGGTCACACGCTTCCTCAAACTGAGAAGTCCCCAGACCTCCATGGACGGGCCGTTAGAGAGCCTCCTCCTGGCCGCCTCCTCCAAAATGAGGAGTGACACCGGTCTTCACAGAGCTGAGAACCGAATGCAGCCCCATACGCAAGTGTCTGCTTGGGACACAGTCATCGTGTCAGAAACGTCTCAACAGAACTCAGCCTGTAAGCCGCAGGCTGGTCAGGGACCGAGTTCCCAGAAAGGCAAGTCATCCACTTCGGACGTCTCAGGAAAGTGTGGCCGTCTTACCACCAAAATCTTTGCCACTGGCCTGAGGGGTGAAGGCAGGGGTCCCACTCTCAGCGAGGTTCGCTGGCAGCCCGGCTCCTCTTGCAGGTCCCCAGGCTGAGCTGGCCCCAGGGCACCTCTGAGTGAGCTAGAGGGGCATCCTCCGGGCAGATGCAGCCCCGTAGGTGCACAGTGGAGCAGAACAAAGTCAGCCCGCTGGGTGGTCACTAACCTGCCCAATAGCCAAAGGGAGCGGGGGAGCCCAGGGCTGGCTGGAAGAGAGGACCCCGAGTCCCAGGACCCAGCACACGCAGCCCGAGCCCTCTGTGGGTTTACTTTAGGAGAAAGGACCCAGGTGCCGGTGGAAGGGGGAGGGGCTTGGGTTAAGGGAAGTGTGCAAGTCCAGAGCTCCCATTTACACTCACCCCGACCCCGGACGGCCACCCTGAACTTAATGGAGCTGGGGACTGCCGCCTGGGGTAACCCAGCCTTCCTCCATCCAGGTGAGTGAGCGCTGACAGGCCTCGCCCGGGGGCTGTGGCAGAGAGAAGTCAGACCCAGCCCCGCCTCCAGGGAGCGCAAGCTCTGTGGGGCACAGACACCCCTCTACCGTCCCACTAACAACTGTGCATCTCAGTGGCGACCAGGGCCTGGAGGAAGAGCCCCACGGTGCACGTGCGGGGGGAGGGACACGGAAAAGAAAGGGCGGGTAGAGAGGCACGTGCTGTCTCCGAGCCCGGCCCCCACCTATGCAGTCCCAAGAGGTGGGGCTACAGGGCCTGGGGACCAGAACCCTGCAGACAGGCCTTGGGGACTTGAACAGGAGGTGGAGGTGCAGGGCACCTGGAGAAGAGCAAGATGAGGCGTGGCACCTGTGGGTGGGAGTCATCTGGGGACATGGGAACCAACCTGCATCACTGACCCCACAGGGCCCCCCCAGGCCCCCCCCCTCTGCTCTGCACCTGACCCTCGGCTATGAACACGGGGATTACTGAGGATGACGGGGATCTCCCAGTGAGCAGGTGATGGAGGACAAAGGAATGAGC